TTCTGGGAGTTGAAGTCCACTCATCTTAAAGTGGCCAAGTTTGGACAACACTGAAATAAGGAGATTCCAGTCACCCAATATTGGTCAATCTTGCAAGATTGTCAGGCACTTGGTGGCAGGGAGTTCTCCCTCTAATTGGTAGGGCTTTCTAAACTCTCCTGGGGGGAGGTGAGGGGAATCTGGACCAGGAAGAAGGCCTTCTTGATGGCTTCCCCTATATTAAGGAATACCCCGTGTCTGGAGATCGGCCTAGCCCCATCGCTTCCAGCACTCAAGGAACAGGTAAAAACATTCCTTTTTAAACAGGTGTTTGATACCAAAGTTGTGTTAGGTGGCCGCAGTAGTAATTTTGGACTCTTTGGTGCTCCTTGACCTTGCACACGTTTCATTACCTGACTAGGTGACATCATCAGTGCTGGTGAGTGTGGGGTCTGCTCCCTGTTTATATACAGTCGCTTGCCCTGCCCGGGTTGGCGGGGGTCTGGTTTTCTCCTTGGGAATTCCTTAATTCAAGGATCTATCAATCAAGGGTGGAACTACTATGGAGTTTCTTGGTAGTTCTTAGGACAAGTACTAGTTCCTAGCACTACTACTACTACTGAACTACTGCTAGTTCAAGGAACTACCAATCAATCAATTCAAGGATCAATCAGTTAGGGAACTGCCAGGGAGAAAACCACATGCCTTAATGGAATAGTTGGTAGATTCTGAATATTGTTGATACACCATCCAGAATCTTTGGATGGGGCAATACAAAAATAATAAATAAATCAGGGTGTGTCCTGAGAGCGTTCTAGAAATCAGTGTTTGGATTCTTTAGCCTCTGCCCCAAACAGATTCTTTCCCAGTCCGATTTCCCAGAGTTGTCTTTAGCAAGATTTATTGCAAAGCGTGGGAGGAGTTACTGGAGTTGCAGCCGCTGAACCAATCTGTATGTTAGGGTGGAGGCTTTCAGATTTTTGGGGTGACAGCCCTCCTGGGATCTGTTAAGGAGGGGGCAACCTTCACCTCTCACGAGGACGTTTGCAGCTGGCTGTTGGCCCCGCCACCTCCTGAATGCTAATCGGTCTGAGAACCAGCCCTTATTCAGGTTCCCCAGGCTGAGAACAGGAGCGAAAAGCATCTTGAGAAAGCAGAGGATGTTGGCTGCATAACCCCTCTGCAGCCCCACACCTCGTCTGCTCCCACGTTCTGCTAATCCCGTGTTCCTTAACGGTCGGCCCTGGTTAATGCTGAGAACCAAACGCTGCCCTTTTCTTACATTCCGGTCACGTACTTATTCTGATGCCCCCCTGGCCAGGAGCGTGACTTTTCTTCACGTCGCTGCCTATTGCTCTGTAGGTGACCTACTGCAGTCCCGAGTGCCGTCAGACTGCGTGGGATCAGTACCACCAGGCGCTGTGCCTGGGACCCTCCAGGCAGGACCCGGAGCATCCTCTCAACAAACTGCAGGAAGCCTGGAGGCAAGATGGGGGGGGGCTCGAGGGAGCAGACGCACTTCAGCAGCTGCCCAATTCTTTCAGAACTCCTTTTGTAGCTCATCTTGCAAGGGGCTCGCCGGTAGCACGCTCTGCCGTGCATGTTGCACGGCCGGTCTGCAGGTGATTGCTCTGCCTCTCCGGGGCTGGCTTGAGTGCCCATTTTGTCTGCGTTGCCCCCCTGGAATTTCCATTTTTCTCTCCTGCCTAGGAACATCCACTACCCCCCTGAGACTGCCAGCATTATGCTGATGGCCAGAATGGTGGCCACCGTCAAGCAGGTACGTGTTGGTAGCATGGTTGCGTGCTAAGAGCCCTGGGAATACTGGGTCCTGCGTGCCCAGAACGTTTTTCTTCTTAAGCCTCCCCCAAGATAACGTGGCCAAAATTTACACAGTGCGGTTTCTTGATGCGTCTTGCTGGAGACGCAAGCAAATTAAGTACCCTAAACCTCTGGATGAGTTTAACGCTGCATCTGTTCAGGCACCAGACATGGTGATCATAGAATCGTAGAATTCAGAAGGACCTAAGAGGTCATCACATCCACCCCCCTGCAGCCGGCTGCAGATTTACTACGCCATATTTTTTGTGATGCTGCAAGTGATCCATAGTCGTGATTTTAATAAATAGCTGGAATCTTGCAGAAAAGCTGGACTTTGAGTGGTGTCGTGAGTTTTGGGCCAAGGATGTCAGAATAACGTAAGAGTTTTGCCATGGTATAGATTAAGTCTTTTTAAATTAAATTATTATCTGGGCTTCCCTGCAGATGCCATCCAGCAGTGGCCTCATCAGTGACTCCTGGCTTGGTGTGCTTTTATAAGTTATTAGGTTTTTAAAATTACTTTAAGTCTCCGATCTTAGGGCCTTTGATTTGTGTTTATGACATTCTTCTTGTGCTTCTTTTAAAGTATTTTATTGACCTTATTGCTTTACTCTTTTTAACAATTAAACAATTTGTAATCTGGTCAGAAAACAGTTGTTGTAGAAGATCAGATCACAGCTCCAAGTTCTGGGGTCACCGTGAATTGGGCTTGAGCCTTGGCAGGGGTGTCTGCAGGGTGTGGTCAAAAAAGTCAAGATGGCGGCCACGATGGGGTCAAAGCTCTGCCTGTTTGTTATGTGTGATGCATAGCCCTGGAGCACTACTCGTGTGTGTATTTGCTTGCACGCACACCCACCCCAGGAGAAATGGTCGCTCTTCTTGGTTTCTTCCAGGCGAAGGAGAAAGAGTGGTGGATCAAACTTTTTTCTCAGTTCTGCAATAAAACTGCCAACGAAGAAGAAGAGATTATTCACAAACTCCTGGGAGATAAGTTTAAGGTCAGGACAACTGTGGAATCTGGGAGTTTTTCCAAGGGGTGGAACCATGATGGCCAGCCAGGAGTGCGTTATCTTGATTTTTGAGCTTTATTTTGGCATAATGTATTTCTGTTTCTAAATCTATTAGATGATGGGGGATGTAAAATCAAATGAATTGTTATTATTTTCTGTCTCTTGGAGGACCACAGTGTAGTAGCATCAGTATTTGAGCAGATGCCATCTTTTGCTCTTCAAAACGCCCCCCTGCCCAAACTTTCCTAGAAAATAAAAATGGTGGATGGCTTTTGCTCCGGGCCTAGATGAACATGGGCCTTTGTGGCTAGGCAGAAGTTAGCTAGGGCAGAGGGAGAAGCTTACAAGGGGAACTAGGAGGGCCTTAGGTAGCACATGGGCCTCCCAGTGGAGCCATTTTGTGAGTGTGCCCACAACACGCTTTCACAACTTTGGCGCAGGAGGCATCCTTGGAATTAAATCCAGAATCTGTAGTTTTGTGCACACAGTACCTACTTCATCCCAAAGAAAAGACACAGCTGCTTTAAAAAGTTCCAGTCAGGTGCTGTATCTGCAATCCTGAGGAAAGATATGGCTGCTTTAAAGAGTTGGAAACAAATGCTCTGTTCCAACTTTGAAGCATCTTTGTGGTCGTAGACTTGCCCGCCCCTCCCCGGCGATCTCTTTGCCCTTTCTCTCTTTCCACCTGAACCCAGAGTCCCAAAAAGAGCATTTGAGGCTTCATCTTGCCCAAAGGAAGGAGCAAAATTGCCGAGCTCCAACTCAATCCAATGCTACTGTTGAGAAGGACAAGGGATCCGATGCACCTATGTGCCACTCTGCCTCAACAAACTTGGCACCAAACCAGATGCCCTCATTTCTCCTGTGGCAGAGCCCACTGGAGTTGGGCAGCTAATACATTTAAATAAATCGTCATCATCATCTGGGTCCTAAAGACAACATCACGAAGGACCCTTTTTAGTTACTTTGCTTGTAGCTTTTTCCAGGGTCCTGCTTCCCAGAGAAGATGGGAGAGGGCTTGCAAACGCGTGTCTCCTCTGATCTCCCTCGACCGCTATTGCAGTGGGATTGTTGGCCGCTGGACAAGCTGTCCTGGTCAGTGGTTCCATAAAGACTTCAGAGGGCAAAATGGGGATTGGTTGGTGAACGCCGCCTTGCTCTGGTTGGCCCCATCAGTTTAATCTCCTCCTGTAACTCCATAAAGGCCCCTGCTCTGTTCCTAACACTCCGTGGCTGTCTTTGCAGAAGAGACTGAACTGACCTGGTTTGCACATTATGGAAAGGTGGGTTGGCTTGTTCGAAATGTTCTGTTCCAGAGGCAGATTGTTCTGGGGGTAACACACTCATCCGATTATTGTAGAATTTGTTTAATCTTCTGGAAGAAGAAATCGTTTGCAGTGTTCCTGACATGGACCAGCCCCACAATTACCCCAGATCCTTCTGTCCTTGGAATGGAACCGAGTGTCTCAGAATGCTAGGCAATTCTGCTGTTTTACATTTATGATTGAGCGTATTGTCTGAACCCAACCTTGGGTTAATTCAGTAACCAGGCTCCATGTTGTGCCAACGCCATCAGTAAGACTGAGTTTCTCCTCCTTGGTTTCTTCCAGGGCCAGCTCGAAGTCCTGCGCGTGCTTTTCACAGAAGCCCTTTATGACGACCACCTTAGCAAGGTAAACCTCACAGCGGTCTGGCCATTGTAGGCCTCTCTCGACCAGATGCGCGGGGACTGCAGTCCCATGACCCAAAACATGCCAGAGGAAGAGGAACGCTGGTGGAATTAGTCCTGGTGCTTCCTTACAGAGAAAGGAGTGTCAACTCAAGATTCTGGGAGCAGGACTCTTTTTGGCGTGGGGAAAGGTTTGGGATCCTTTCCAGCTTACTACATGCCAAATGTGTTGAGGTGGTGTTTCTGCTGTTCTCAGGACACATTCCTCTGAAAAACATAGTTTCCCCCTGATAATCACATCCCAAACGTAGGAGTCGCTTCAAGCAGAGGCTTCGGTGCAAACTTTACAACTTAAGATGGTGAGCTGGGGAAGGTGAAAGTGCCAGATTTTGCACCTACCCGATGCGTCAATTCTCTTTCATCTCCCACAGTGGTTTTCTCCTGAAGGCTTTCGGTCTTTGTTCGCCCTGGTCGGCACCAATGGGCAAGGAATAGGGACGAGGTAAGTCAAGGGAGCTTTGCTGCTGGGGAATTCCACAAATGTCATCAGGGATCTGCCAAGAGATGGATCCGTCCCTTTTTAAGGACCCAAACTTGTTGCCTTTCTCATTTGGCCAGGCTGAAATTGAGGGTGTGATGTACCGGTCTGCAGAGTCTGAATGATTTTAGCACGTACTGCAGGAGGAGGAGGGGGGTCCCAATTGGGAAAATTAAAATTGAACGGTGTCAGGTTGCAGCTGAGAAACTCGGTTTTTGTTCTGGTTGTGGTTTAACGTCCTGTCGGTTGAAAATACAATAAAAATCTGCTTTTAGAAGAGGGAGGGTGCTAGGATAGAATGGGGGCGAACACTAAATTGGGAGAAAGGACTTGCCAAGGAAGAGAGGTGGGGAATGTATATGAAAGAAATAAATTGGAACCACTTTGGTTTGTCCAAGAAGTTGATTTCTGCATTTGGGGTTTAGAGTTCTAGTTGTTTGTTGGTGCCTGCAGTGTGCACAGTTTTTCCTACTTTGAGCAAAATGACAAATTGATCATGCCGGTCTCTTCCTTGGCACTGCCCTAAAAGAAGACAGAACTGAACCATCTCGGTCCAGATGTGTTGGTTCCAGTGTCTGTCATCCCAGGGTGTGATGAAGGAAACCCTGGTTTTGTCTAAAGGCAGCTCTGCAGCATTAGGGTTCTTGCAGAGAGGCCACGGGTGGGGGGGGGGGTTATGCACCAGTTTTCCCCTATGGCCACAGAGAGGGCATGCCCAGAGGGGCCTTGTTTTGGCAGGGACACCATCGTATTCATCTCTGGCTTGGAAGGGTAGGGGCGTCCATCCTCTTGACTCCTGTGGGTCATGCAGCTGGTGGACGGAATGGTTTCAGCCCCAAAGGAACCTAGGGCTTTAGACTCACGCAACTCTTTGGGCCTTTTGCTTCGGGCTTTTGCAGCTCTCTGAGCCAGTGGGTCTGTGCCTGCGATGCCCTGGAACTCCCCACCCAGGAACGGGAGCAGTTAGACGCTTTTATCGACCAGCTGTACAAGGATATTGAGAAAGGTGGGTAGACCAGAGACCTTCCACAGTTTGAAGGCCCCTGCTGGGCCTGGTTGTCTTCTGGTGGCAGAAGGTTTCCATGGGACTCCAGGAAATCAGGGAGACACTCCCAACCACTGGGGTGGGAGGATAGGGTGCCGCCCCCAAGCTCATGCCAGTCTGGAGGGGTAAGTGAAGATCTTCTGGATCAGGACTTCTTCCCCCTGCAGGGCTGATCAGATGCTCCCAAAGACCACAAACATGGTTGGAGGGCATCAGTTGTCCCCACCCTGGCCAGACAGGCCGAGACGTACCGCCCTGTATATCCAGTCGCTATGAGCTCCTCCAGCCCTCCTCGCCCTAAACAGCCTCCAGATGTGCAGATTTGATTCCCTAATTCTCAGGGTGATGCTGTGGCTGGCAAATCCTGGGAATTGGGGTCCACGCATCCGGCAGACGCCCACCTTCCCGGGTTTGCAGCATTGCCTTCCTGAGCCATTTGATCCAGAAGGGCATCATCAAATGATGTGACGAGGAGTACCCTCTGCTTGTTCGATTATTACTGATTGATTATTTGACACCCTGAAAAAGACGCCAGCCTGGTTTTAGCTGTCAGTCTCCTTTCCAGGCTCACAGTCCCAGGGTCTGCTTTTGACTCCCGTGATTTCACACATTTTTAAACCGCATTCCACCTCATACCTGTTCTTCAGCCTCCACGCTTTCTTACTGTTTCTCTCTGTCTCTTTGGATTTAGAGACAGGGGAGTTTCTGAACTGCGAAGGGTCTGGCCTCTACGTGCTGCAGAGTTGCTGTGAGTAATGAGAACAGAATCTCTTGCCCGGATCTCTGGGCCTTCGCAGCAGATGCCCGCCTAGAAGTGGTTCCGTGAGCTGGACAGTTACTTTCTCTGTTCCTTGTTGCAGGCAACCATAGCTGTATTCCCAATGCTGAGGCCTCTTTCCCAGAGAACAATTTTCTCCTGCATTTGACAGCGGTGGAAGATATCAACCTGGGAGAGGTGAGGTGTCAGCAGAGCATGTACTGTAAACATTCTGTGTTGGCCACATTTTTTTTCCTTCCTTCCTTCCTTCCTTCCTTCCTTCCTTCCTTCCTTCCTTCCTTCCTTCCTTCCTTCCT